CTCCAATCACCTCCCAATCCTCCTCACCCTACACTCCCCCCCTTGCCCTTCCCATTACCCCTTCCCCTCCTTTATTCTTATTCGTGTTCTTGTTGATCTGTTTCTTCTCTCCTCCTCCCTCCTTACCTCCCTCCCCCCCCCTTTCTTTCTTCCTTTTCCTCCAAGCTAAAACAGGTTAAGCAGGTCTGCTGTCTGTACTCTGGGTTCAGTGCTACTACTACTAACCGCTTACTCTCTCCCCTTCTGCTGCCTCTGTGTGCGCATGGTGTGTGCATGACTTGACATGACGACGTGACTTGACAGCTCCCTGTCATGAGCCAGTCTCTCGTTAAACATTTGCACGAGGCTTGAAGATACAACAATGCGATATAGTGATATGATATGATGTGCAGATATAGGATACAACAGGATGCGATGACATGTGATATGCTAATGTAACTGGTATTTGCACAATAAGCGTATCTAGCTGATATACCACGGGTTCTACTTTCCATTCTATAATGAACCTAAAAGCCTCAAAGGGGAGAGGAAAACAAACAACAGACTGAATCGAAGGGAGAACGGAGAAAAACGGAGAAAAAATAATGGACTAGGAAGAGGATAAAGAGATGCAAGTCACCGCGACTACCTGCCGTCACTAAGCCTTCACACGCGAGGCCAGTAAGCCACCAAGAACCGATCCCAGAAATTATGAACCAACTTTAAAGATCAATAAAAAGCCAACACATCCAAAGGGAAAAAAACAAAATCGACCTAAATCCTTTAACGAGAGTCAACATCTTATCTTGCAGTGTAGCCAACCCTGCACCTACCGCCCTGGCCCCTGCGTGACCTCCCGGGACCCCAGACTCGTGTCAGAGCGCAGCCGGACGACGAATTCCTCCCCCCCCCCACCCCACCCCACCCCACTCCACGCAACCCTCCTCGCCACTGCCAATGCCCCTTCCTATTACCTTACCTACTCCTACTTCACATACAGACCTAGCTATGTACTTAACTGCCAACGTACATGCACACAGACATGCACGCACACGCACCAACATAAACACCTTTTCACCTTTCTGCCTCCCAACCTGTCGCTTTGCCCAACCGGCCCTCATCTTCATCGCTCTCAGAATACGGCCAGCGCTCACCTCCCCCCCCCCATCCCCCTCACCCCATACAACCTTTACCCCCTTCCACATATCCTTCACCCTCCCCCCTTCGTTTCTCTGTTCTCCATTCCATTTCCATCCCAACTTCCTTCCTTCTCTCCCTATCTTCCTACATTCCTTCCACCCTCCCTCCTTCCCTCCTCATCTCCCTTCCCTCTCCTTCCCTACCTTACCCATTTCCTTCCTTTCCTTCCCCTTCCCCCTCCTCCCTCCTCCTTTACGACCCGATACAAATCGTGTTGTTGACGCTGCGCAGCCACGCTATTTCCTCCTTGCACGAGGCTCGCTTCTTAATCAGCAAATTAATCACTCATTCAACCAATCAATTCAGTCAAATATAGGTGTGTGTGTGTGTGTGTGTGTGTGTGGTGTGTGTGTGTGTGTGTGTGTTGTGTGTGTGTGTGTGTGTTGTGTGTGTGTGTGTGTGTGTGTGTGCGCGCGCGGCGCGTGTGTCCAATCTATTTCTGACACCTCGACAGGTTATGTACTCGCCATCTCATTCTACTCTCTCAAATGCGTGTCCTCTCCCTGTTAAAAACACGCCCAATTTCTTGTCACCATCCCTTCTTCAGACACTCACACACTCACACACTCATAGAGAGAGAAGAGAAGAGAAGAGAGAGAGAGAGAGAGAGAGAGAGAGAGAGAGAGAGAGAGAGAGAGAGAGAGAGAGAGAGAGAGATTAAACACCGCTAGCCAAACAGCCAAGGCAGAATAGCTCCCCAGACACGACACGGATTCCTCCCCGTCCCGCGCACCGTGCCAACCTCCTCCTCCTCCGGTGAGCCCATCCGAAACCCCGGACGACCTCCTCCTCCTCTCCGTCTTGTTGTCACGCGGGGATTAGGTTCCCTCCCTGACCTATCCACGCCTTCGCCAGCCTTCGATAGCCTCTAATCGCGTAGGCCTAGATAGTAATAATAATGATTTAACAATAATAATAATAATAATAATAATGATAATAATAATAATAACAATAATATACACTGCGGGAATTAGAGCCTGGATGGATGTTGGTTAAAAAGGAAGGGAAGAAGGAGAAAGAAGGCATAAGGGTGTTGGAGATCTATACGTAAGCTGCCTCCTTCCACTGCATGTCCCCCCTCCCCCTCCCTCTCCCTCCCTCCCTGGCGAGGTAATACACCCTTTGTGAAGGTCATGCTCTCCTCCCTCTTCCTCCCCCTCCCCTCCCTCCCCTCACCCCTTCGTCATTCTCTTTCTTCTCTCTTTCAAGTCTCGTGTATGGCTCCACCTTCTCTTCACGTTTTCTACTCCTTCCTCTCCTCTTCCTACCCCGCTCCCCCCTCCAATCTTCCCTTCACCTACCCCTCCCCAATCACGTGATCTGCAACTCCTCTGCGGACTCGCTTACGGACCGCCCCCTCCCCCGCTCTAGCCCAACCCCCCTCCACACCCTTTGACTTACCTACCCCCCCTACCCACCCGTGCCTCCCCCCTCCACCACGACCTCCTCCCCTCCCGGCCCCTGGAATGAAGCGACAGAGTGGCGCCAGTCTTTACGCCGCTCCCCGCCCACAATGGGACGGCTAATGGCGGCCAGGAAGGGTGGTGGCGGCGCCTCGCTAACCGCGCCAGCCCTCCTCGCTTCCGTGCAACGACATCATCATTACGAACACTCTTCTCGTCTTTGTTTCTCTTACAATTATCATCGTCGTTACGATCATCATTCTTATTATTATCGCCATTATCTAACACTCTTCTCTTCTCATCGTTTCTATAATTATCATCGTCGATATTATCATCATTCTTATTACTATCGCAATTATCTAACACTCTTCTCTTATCATCGTTTCTATAATTACCATCATCGTTATTGTAATCATCATAATTATTACCATCGCAATTATCTATTTCTATTGCTCCAAGATAATAAGTAATCTTAAAATATCATTGACTTTCTCTTGACACGCATATTTTCCCCAAATTTCGCATCAAATATACTTCGCGGACTAATGGGTGTTTTCGCGGGATTCCTAAAGCCAAAAGAAAGTCTTGCCAAAATTAAGTCAAGATACAAACAAGTGCGAATTTTTTACGCTCTCCCTGCCAAATTCAAAGAGAGACAAGTGGCTCCCAAGTTTCTATTTGCTTACGCGAAAATAACTACATGTCGCGAAATAAACAAATAAAACAATCATTTTACAAGACAATAAAAAAGATATCAAAATGCAACACAAATTGTATCAACTCAGCAACCCACACGCACGCGAGATATCGAACGGAGAGGAAAGAAAAAAAAACGAACGCAAGACAAAAAAAAAAGACTCAAAGAAAACGAAGAACCAATAAACCACCTTTAACACACGAAAAAAAAAATAAGAAAAGAAAAGAAAACAACACGAGATTTCCCTTCCCCATTGCACGTGATCTTTTAGCATATATACACGACTCAAGGTCAGATATAAACCACCCGGCAACAAGCAGACCCAAATTCCCTACGAATTCGTAATAAATTGCGCTCCGTGATCCGGTTTAACGTATAACGAAATCTATGTCCATTTACGTACGAATTCTCGCGGATCAACGGCAAAATACACAAGACTGGTTGGTATAAGTCACAAGCTCAACAATTAGTTTTTAAGACGCTAAGTAACATTCTCCCCACGTGATATTCTTTATTATGTAATTCACACGAACTGTCCGGAAGCGTTAGAGAAGAATTGTCAGCCAATCAGCTCGCAGGATTCCGCTGAAACCCCGCCTCTCCTTGGAACGTCATCGCGAGGCGCAATCGCTCTTCGAGAGAAGAAAACATGGCGGGAATCTTGTATCTTAGATCGCGCCGGTCTCTGTTACTGCATGACTATAGTGTTCTTTCAGCAGTGTAACAATAACTAAAATGATTTAAAGGCAAAATTCTATACAAAATTTATGTATAAGCCCACACCATCAGATAAATAGTAAATATATAAAGAAGTGATTCAGCTGGGACCTTTGCAACGTTGCCACATCTACCCCTTAGCGTAAGCTCATACCACGTGGGAAAAAAATACTATCAGTCTCGTTTATTTCATAATTTTTTATTATTGACACTACCGAATAACCCGAATACTTGTAAAATATATTACAAATTTAAGTCCAAGTCAGGAAATCGATACATTCCGCTGACTCATGCTCGCCCCTACCAATCCAACAAGTTTAAACATGAATGGAAGCATCTGCATCATCAAATTCCTTCCAAGTCGGCCATTTTGGCGGGTCATTATACTTTCCTTTTTTTTTTTCTATTTCTATTGTACGAGACAGAGAGAGGGAGGGAGAGGGGATAGAGAGAGATAGAGATAGAAATAGATAGAGCGAGCGAGCAATAAACTGCGTGAGACCTCTTAGGATCTGGTAAAACTTCCTACTTCGTTTCTCGGACTTCCCAGTGACGGAGCCAGGTTCTCTGATGCATTTCAAGAGACTTCTGAAGATACCATTGACACCAATCAAAGCCAATACAAGACCTTGACAGAATAGAAAATGAGAAAATAGACAGACTAGGACAACCCCCTATTAGATTCTGATACGATCGGAGTCAATTCAAGTTCAACATACATATTATCTTTATTTTTTCTTAACCAACATCGCCACTGGGTTTCGTTTTCGTAAAAAAAGATAAGAAAGGAAAAGAAAAAATTCCCAGATTTACACAAACATACCGATACAAATACAATTACAGAAGACAATGTTAATGATGCTGATAAGATAACATATACGATGACGATGAAAATAAACATGTGAATAAACTAAACACGAATAATAATACAACGAATGATAATAATACAACCCCCCCCACCCCCCCCCCACCCCACCCCACCCGGAAGGAAAACTTGGCACTTACCGTTAATCTGTCAGCTGGCCGTTGCTGCTGCTGGACGAAAATCAGCTGTGCCTCCCACGACTGCACTAGTCTGTCGTCATCACGTGGACAACTGCAAATGAAGAGGGAGGTCGTTAATTATGCAACAACGACAACCATGGGAGCACGAGGAAATGGTGGGGGGGGGGATAAAAGATGGGCTAGGAAAATGGGATGGGAGGGAGGGGGGTAGGTGGGTTAGGAAAAAAATGAATGGGAGGGAGGAATAGAAGATGGGGGATGGGGATAGGTGGGTGAGGAAAAAATGAATGGGAGGAGGGATACGTGGGGTAGGAAAAAAAAATGTAGGCAGGAATAGATGGGTAGGTAAGGAAAAAAGGGTTCTGAGAAGGATAGGTGGGTGAGGAAAAGGGATGGAAGGGAGGAATAAGTGGGTGAGGAAAAATGTGATGGGAGGGTAGGATACGTGGGTGAGGAAAAAGGGATAGGAGGGAGGGATCTGATGGGTAATGAGGAAAGGAGGGTGGGATAGGTTGATTAGAACAGAAAGGATGGAGCGCTGGGTAAAGATGGATAGAAGGATAGTAGGAAGGAAGAGGGAGGGGGGAGGGGTCGAAAGGGAGAAGGGAGAGAAAGGGGGATAAATGGGTAAAAATAATCGGATAGAGGGATAGAAGACTAAAAGAGGAAAATACAATTCGAGAGGATAAGGAGAAACATTGAGCAGGGAATGGAAGGGAAGGGAAGAGAACGAAGGGAAAAACAGGATGGAATTATGGGAAAAGGGAAGAGAGGGAGGAAGGGATAGATGCGCAAGATGGGACGAAAGAATGGAAGAAAGGACGCAGAGATTGACCGAAGGGAGGGCAGCATAGATGGATAAAGGGAGAGCGGCATAGATGGATAAAGGGATAGACAAAAGGGATGAGAGGAGGTAAGATGGGAAAAAACACATAACTGGGTGCTGTATGTGCTAAATCAAGGTTTGTCAATAAATATTACAAGAAATATTGGATTAATGATAAAAAAACACAAAAAATGAAAAAAAAAATGCTAGACTACACACACCACTTTATTTCGTAATTCAACTGCATATTGAAAATAATAATAATAACAACAAAATAACCCTAATGTTAACAATAACCATATAATACTACTAACAATTATCAAAAAACACATAAAATAACACAAGAATCCAGTAAAAATAATATGCACCACGAATACCTCCCCCTTTAACTGAACTAACAAAAAGAAAAAAGAAAAAAAGACATTAAATCTCTACCCAAATTAGCTTCCCCAACCGGTGGTGTCCCGAGCTGGCCTACCCCAACGGTAAGGCCTATAGCCATTTCTCCTTGATGACGTAACGCGCGCGAGAGAGAGATTACGTAACTCCCCTTCTCGGTTGCCATAGGCCGCCAATAAACCCAACTCTAAAAGATGACAGCAGCCCCTAGTAACAAACCGGAGTTTCCTGGTTCTGTTCCTAGCATTTGCATTTATTCTCTCCTTTTTTTTACAAGGGAGGGGGAGGGGGTGAGAGGAGAGGATTAGGGAGATTTCTCTGGCTTCGCTACAGACGGCTTCAAAATAAAAACCCTTTAACTTCATCCCTTTAGCTTTACAAGGAAATCCCCAAACTGAAACCCTTAAACTCCATATGGGAAGGTGCAACACTACCTTGACATCTTGGGTCTCTTTTCACACACGAAAATCAATATCACCAACAACCTTTCCCACCCTTCCTCCAAGTTATTTTTAACCGCACGGCTTGCAACGGAACTGGCATGTCAAAAGCTGACCAAAATGACATGCTCTACGAATCGTGCTTTCCTACCGTGCGACTAAACTCTCGAGGTATCGTAAACATTTACGAATATTGCGACAACGACCGACTCCATAAATTTTATAAACGCCCTTCAATGTCATCTCAGACAGACTCGCCAAACGCTCATATTTCTTTCCAAGGAATCAAAACAATCTATCATCAACAATTGCCCAACATACCAGAAGTTCCCATTGGTCAATACCACCATTACTCCTATACATCTCCCGGAAGTTTCGAGTTCAAATAAAAATAAAGAATCCAGACGAACAAGGCAAACCCAATAGTGTCGACACCTTTTAAAAGCCCTCCTAACAACAACAAAAATCCCAGGAACAAGAGAAAAATAAGGAAATAAAAACGGCATGGAATCCATCGTCGAAGCCCCGCCCCCTCTCAGCTACGGAATCCATATACTGTACATCATTCCCCTCCTCCTCTCTCCTTGACCTCGCTCTCTCACAGAAACAGCGTTGTTTACCCCCCCCCCCCCCCCCACCACCCACTCGACAGCCCTACAACACACGCGCTTTCCCATTTCCCCTTCTAGGCTACGGGTCCACTCAACGCGAATATGGTTTAAATACTGTCGTTTATGCTGTCTTCCATGGGCGGGGAGATAAATCCCTGTGAAATATGATTACACGTACGGTGAGAAACGCCTGAGGAATGGCCAATCCAGAACAATATATCGGTATTCGAACATGTATATTGACGGCATGTGATACGTGATTTTAGACCTCCACGACTTGGAAGAAAATTTCAAATAAAAACCTAGGCGAAATCCATGGCTTCGTACGAAACCATAAAATCCTTGCGGTTACTTCGATAGTAAAATGAAAAGCCGAAGTATTTTTTTTTTTTTATCAATTCCCGAATATTGCAACGAAGCCTCACAATGCAGACATGCAAAAATCAAGCATTACCGCCATGAGAGGGAGGACCCGCCAATCACAAAGAATAAAATCTCTTTCTCTATAATACACACGTCGCCATTTCCCGATCGAGGACCCGAGGAAATCCGCTGCCTGGGTCTCGGTATGCGACGGCCCTTTCTGCGGCGGCGGGTCACAGGAAACGGGCAAATGCCTGTCGGGACCTCCTTGTAGAGTGTAACAGACCACGACTAACAGACTAACAGGCCTTACGGAACAGGTTCGCTAAGCTAGGTGTCAGCTGGTGCCTGGTAGCTTCTGGCAGTCTGCTAGTCTGCTTGCTACCCCCCCCCCCCTTCCTTTCCTTTAGCCAGAGAAATCTTTTAAACTCATCGACGTGGTAGGGGAGGTGGGGAGGGGGGAGTGTCTCAAGACGTTGCCTAGTTACGTCTGGGATATTTTTCTCTAGTTTTCGTTTTTTTCCTTCCTACACATCCAGCAAGTCACTAGCGTCATGCGAATGATTTGGAACCGACTGTTAGCCAAAAATTACACAACCAGGATTTCCCATAATTATGTGATTACAGAAATGTTCTTGGTGCATTTGCTCCGGACATTTAACACACACAAAAATAAAAACAAGCAAACAAACATTACATCTACACACATTTTATATCATACATACATACACACATACAAATAAATAAACAAATAGATAACACACCACAAGTCGTCTCCCTACCCAATCTACACCCGTCTATCGGTGACCACTTCCTATCTACAGCCATAATAAACACACTACCGACCGCCACTTCCTTTCCTATCTCAACCCCCGACTCTCACGTACACACACACATCGCATTTCCAGCTGTCAAAATTCCACAACAACACACAACAATACTCCCCTCCCCCCTCCCCCCTCTCCTTGCAATGCACCCGCAACATGACCTCTGCAGCCGGGTTCCTCCAACCTGGGTCTTGCTCGCTGCAATTGCCATGCGCCGAGATCAAGACACCTTTGTCATGAGAATGCATGATCTAATCCCACCACACTCCTCCCCCATCCTCACCCCCTTTCTCTTCGCCATCCACATCCGGGAAATTCCAATATCTATCTGACATTATAATTACCATAAGTATTATGATTATGATGATTATTATTACTATTGTTATCATTACCGTCATCATCATCCTTATTACTATAAATATCATTAATATCATGACAATTAGCAGTATCATCATCGTCATTTATCTCATATTTCTATCTTTATTCTTTATTTTTTCCACCCTTAGTCATTCACCTATAAAGCGTCTAAAACTTTAAAAACACGCAGTTATATATTCGCTAAAAAACAAAAAAAACGCAACGACTTAGAAATACGTGAGATTACACTTACGAGGAAAGTTAATTGCTAACGTTGGCGTCTAATGTATATATTTTTCAGTGTACATAAAACGCGTTCTGGGAAGATCATCGCAAAATCTCCAAGAGTTCTGGGTGAGGGTGGGTATTTATATACCTCAACTGAGATTTATTCCTCGAAGAAACCAGAGCAAGAATGGCAAGAAAACGGTACAAAATTCTCAGTATCTCTTTCGTGCTTTTCTTGAAATGACCATCTTTTTAAACGCGGAAGGACATGAATCACTTACGAGGCCACATAAAACAGCTGAGTGTCTGACCTAACTATGACGGAATTTCCCTCGCACTCACGCATCAGTGGCAGGGTTCGAGCTCTACGCTATATACACACATTCAGAACATGTATACATACGTTCCTTTAAACACAGGCCTATCTATTTAAATTCACATACATAAATCTACTTACACTCAATATACTTATCTACCCGTATTCACATACACATATTTACTTACATTCACATACACAGATCTACTTACTTCCACATAGACATCTACTTATATCAATTTACACACACCGTATATACTTACACTCACATCCACATCTACTTATATTAGTTTACACACAGCGTATATACTTACACTCACATCCACATCTACTTATATTAGTTTACACACAGCGTATATACTTACACTCACATACACATCTTATACCATATATACTTACACTCACATACACATCTACTTATATTAGTTTACACACAGCGTATATACTTACACTCACATACACATCTACTTATATTAGTTTACACACAGCGTATGTACTTACACTCACATACACATGCTAACTTACGCTGTACATCTATATTCTACTTGCCTACCTATGCACATCCGCATCTTTAGGCTTTCCTCCATCAGCTGATGTACCAAACATGTCAGATATTCTGTCGTCATCACCCAAAAGAGTTTCGCTGACCTCCTCCTCCTCCTCCTCCCCTTCCCTCCTCCTTTCTCGGTCATCTGGCGAAGCGACTCGTCACCCCTTGCCTGGA